TAACCAAAAAGGAAAAGAATAATTGAGATCTTTCAACCGCGTGGTTCCCTTTCTGAACAATTTCTTTTACATTTCGCGATCGATAACTTGAACAATGATCGCGATTTCGTTATCGATTTTACGCCATTAAAATTGTTCGAATAACTATTATTTCACACGTCCTTGGTTTAATCAACGTGCGAAGCTTAAATAGCTGTTTTGACAGCTACACATATTACAGCGAGCAACAAGCTCTCCGCGTCGAATGTATTAAAATTTTATCGGGGCAGGAGGGGGAGGGGAGAGGGGGGTTAACTCGTCGTGCACACTGCACGAAGATTTTCCAGTCACGAGTTAACTTGTTATTCTCGATTAACAGGTTGAGTAGACGAAGAAGAAGAAGAAGAAGAAGAAATAGGAGAAAAAGGAGAGGAAGAGCTCGGCCCTCACCGACTGCATGTTTTTCAGGATGTCTGCGGCCACGGTCATAGCTTGGCTAAACGCTCTTGTCGCGACGAACGATCTCTTGATCTGGACGCCCAGTTTCTGCGGGACGTCGCCGAACGGCCTCATCTCTTTCATACTTTCGCCCACGCACTCCAGATACTTGTTGTCGAAATCGTATTGGCTGTTCAGAACGGTGAACATCTTCAGGTAGAGAGTGTTGAAGAAGTTGTCCATGGCATCATTCAAGTTAACCTGAAACAATAATTCGGCGCTTGGTCGATCAAGTTTGAAAAGACAATCGAGATTCATCTCATTTATAGGGTAAGGGTAGGTATTACTGCAGGTTTTCAATGAAGGCGAACTTTGACGGAGAAAGTAAGACTTTTTCATGTCAATTAATTGATGACTTGAGTTATCGCCTATTATTCTTTAACTTGAATATTTACTTTTCTCGAAATACTGGATCTCTGAAAGCATGAAATTGTCAAGCTTGACATAACCTATTTTCTTTTAATGTACACACACACACAGCTACGATTCCTAGGATCAAGATGTTCTTACTGTAATAGTTTACAAATTAGGTATATTAGGTTAGATTGTACGATCAGGCGTGTTCGCACCGGTTCATCGAAAACTGCACTGTATAGGCTAACTCTTTGCACTCGAGCGGTGACTCTGAGGCACCGGTAAAATTGTTGTATCACGTTCTAAGATAATTTTTGTATTAACAAAGTTTAGATTTGGGAAATTGTTTAAAGTGTAACTGTCGCACGAGTCGTCGCAAGACTCAATTTCATGTGCATAAAATGCACTTTGTCGTGTAAAATGGAAACACCGTTAAGTCAGAAAAATTGGTTCGGATTTACGGTTAAAATAGCTTCGAGTGCAAAGGGTTAAGATGAGACGACAGGTTAAGGATGAATGATAGTAACAGTGTACGTGTCGATTAATTGATCAAAGTAATGATTACTTTATTTTAAAGTAACGCTAAAATGAACAGCTTATTATTAGTTACCGAAAAATATAATAAAAATATAAAAAATATAAATATAAAGAAGAAAATCATATGCTTTTAATAACTGTTTACATTTTCTCATGTTTTACAGTGTTCGCAAGTACCATAGATGGACAAAGATCCGCCAGATCAATGATTAGGGAAATGAACTCTGTTTCAACGTCGGTCTCGAGGTCGCATTAAACGGAAAAAAATAAGTATCTCGGATAATGAACGCAGGCAAAATAATTCTTCAGCATCGCGTCGAACACTCGAGACGTACGAAGTATTACCGCTGATCGATCGAAAAAGGGGAAACAAAGAAGTATAGTCCGAGGATTATCCATTCATAGATATTTCCCCCGGTATAGTTTTCCATCCTGGCCAATATTCGAGAGCGCACCGATCGAAGGAATAATCCGACGGCCGTATTATCGAGTCGTCGTGGCATGGAAACGTGGGGAAGTATAATAAAAAAGAAAAAAAAGGAGAGAGAAACAAGGAAACGATGAATCCTCGATAAATACGAATTCTCCTGTTCCGCGAGACGGGACGCAATGTACAGGGTGAGTCGGAAATTAATCCCTGGGCTTTTTCAGCTCCTGACGATGGTCTGACAAAAAAAAATGTTTTCTCTCGGAGTTAATTAGTATTTAACCGACAAGGAATCGCACTTGTTTACATTTAAAAACAAATTGATTTTCGATAAAATACCGTTATAGTTTTAGATGAAACGACGATCAATTTGTTTTCAAATTGAAACAATTGTGATCCCCCTCGTCGGTTAAATGCTAATTAACTTTGATAGAAAACATTTTTCTGTCAGACCATCGGAAGAGGCTGAAAAATCATGGGGAATGATTTGTGACTCACCCTGTATGGTATTATTCGTCTCTCTGTGTAAATTCGTTGCCGCAGTAATACCGACTACAGTCGCAATCTCAACGCGTTCGCGTGGTTTACCCTGCCATCGCACTAATTGCAAGCCAACGGGTTTCAAGAAAATATTTTATTTGTCCATTCGAATTTCTCACTTGGTCAGTGAGATTTTCGATAAAGGGCTTCCCATGTACAGGGCGACCAATTTCAATCTATCCGGTCGAATATCTTCGAAACCGTCGACGATACTGAAAAATGTTCTGAACGAAATTTGAATGGTTTCGGGCGCACGTAATCTGATATTAATATTATATAATACTATATAATAATATTATTATATAATATAATATATATATATATATACATATATATATATATATATATATATATATATATATAATAATAATAATATTATATACATTATATAATATATATGATATTAATATTAATATAAAATATATAAAATATAATTTTTTTCTAGGTGGCCCCTTAGTAATACCTAACGCATACGCGTATGCACAATCGGCATCGATCGAACAGACGTGGAAAATAAAGGTAGAAAACGCAAACTTACCGTCCCTTTGGCGTAATAATTCTCCAGTTCCTTGTACAGATCCGTGAAGACGTACGAGTTCTGCTCGTAAAGCATGCCGTAAGTTTTCTTGAACATCTCGTGGAAGCTCCTCTTGCTGTCAGTCAGCAGAAGTTTGAAGAAACCTGGAAAAAGAAGGAAGAGAAACCTTATCGGTGATCGCAGGGACCTCGATACGGACGCGTGAATGGAAACCAATTCGCCGGAAATCGCGATTGCAACTATTATCCTGCGGGTTAAACTTTGAAAAATCCTGCATACATTTAAATAAGAATCCTTGTTGCATCGTGTTTCGGGTCTGTGTGACTCGAATCGAGGTACGTACTAAGATTATTCTCAAGGTTATTTATGCTTAAATGCCCGACCTTCTTATTTACAAGCTTGTAGAAACTAAATTCAACGAATGCCATAAATACGCGTATTTGTCGTAATAAATAATTCCTTCCTGTAGTAACCAGGTTACGGATTGAGTTATGTTACCCTATCTCAAAGGGTTAACCCGCTTTCTAGACAATTTGAGAGCCGTTCTCCCACTGGTTACTCGTGGCCTGCTGTAACCTGCCTCGGTTAACAAGGTTAAGGTTAGGTAACGATTAGTGTTCCTGAAACGAAGCTGTCGTAAGGTAACAGAAGTAATTTAGACGATAGCCTCAAATAAATACGTGTACAATTTCCTTATGAATTATTATTATTAATAATTATCTTACTGGACCCGTCAATTACAATAAGTCTGATGGGCCAATGAGACGATTAAGATGGCTCGCGACATTCTAACACCAAAAATGGTGTCGGGAAATAAAGAGAAATTATGAAAAAGAAGAACTACCATGCGATTATCATGAGAAAAAATTTGATACATAGACTGTGAATACGTGGCAAGTAGCAAAATTATTATATTAATTATATATATAATAATATATATTATTATATATTATATAATATAATATATATTATATTAATTATTAATTAATATTAATATTAAGCAAAATATTAATAATTAATACCCAAATGTTTCTGAATATAATACTGAATATAATACTAATACTGAAACTCTGTTTCAGTATTTCTACCGATCGTAAACTTTTTTTCCATGCAACATTTTGTTTTTTCATTCGCATGTCGTTAATAATAAATAAATAAATGAATAACTCCCTGTTACTTTAAGTTACAAAGAATATTATTTTACGCTTCAAGACAAGCAATGTTTTCAGTAAATTTTGTACAAGAGCGTCTGATCGGAAACTTATTTCCAGGGGTTGTAGCCAGCAACGATATATCGTTGCTCGGCCCGATAAGGGTTGATTGACACGTTGAGTGCCGCGTCGGTAACACGTAAGCGACACTGATTTTTAACCAGGCTTTGGAAATACAAAAAGGTACAAACTAATATTACATATTGTGAACTTCAACATTCCAGCTTCGGGGTTCCATTAATTAAATTACTTTAACATCGTAGGAATTTTCGGGATTGATGTTCGCCGCTCAACGTGTGAAGCGTCACTGAACAAAACGCCACTGCAGTTACTAGATCGACCACAACACCTAGTCGCTTTTCATTTCAGTACAGCGACACTGCGAAGATAAATTACATCCGCGGACACATTTGGAAGATGATGGAACGTTCTCTAACGAACTGGCCAAATTGCTGCCATGTTATTCGTAAAACACTAAAATTCAATTTTACATCGATGGATCGGATAGATTAACAGTAATAAATAAATAACCTATAATACATAACCTAAGTAACCTAAATACATATGCACATGCATGGTTTCCTTACATTGTGCTTTTTTTAATGAAATTCGTGCTTTCAGAGATCCGATATTTTCAAGAAAATAAATATTCGAATTCAAGAATAATAGATACAGCTCGAGTTATCAATTCATTGGCGTAGGTTTTATTTTCTCTGTCAAAGTTCGCCTTCATTGCAAAACCGCAGAAATACCTACAATAATCCTATCGATCTTCAATTTTTGTACTGATCGATGCAGAGATACCGGAACATAAAATGCTTAAAATACGAGACAAGATTCTAACCTCGAAGGACGAGGAACCAAGAAGATAAATAAATAAGTAATAAATAAACCAAGTAGATTAAGTTCATCCGAGCCGCTGAAAATCAAGTGGAACCGTTCGAAACCTACAAAACGGTGTTTGATTAGCCGTCCTTGTACGACGCGGCACCTGCACCTTGCGGTCCCGTATGGGATCGGCCCCGTTTTTCCCCGCCGTTGGCTCTACTCGGCGATGCCCATACGAGCGAGCAGAAGATCCAAGCATTCATCGATCCTCGGGTAAGGGTTCTCGATCGGTTTCTCGTGACACGTCACGAGAGGGAGAGCCGACGGACGCGTCACTCGTGCCAGTCGGATAAGAATGACGTCGGCGTCGGCGGCTTTTCCCGTCCCCATCCCCCACCCCCGTCTGAATCCCCAATTGCGGTCGCGCCACCCTCGACGCGTAACCCCGTGGATCTCTGTGCCCTGAGCCCGGTTCTTATCGCCGCTTCAGCCGCGAAGAATGTGATTAAAATTCCTTTTAACGACGCCGGGGAACAGACTGCGGCGAGGGAGAGGGGGAAAAGTGAGAGCCGAGCGACTGAGGAAGTGAGAAAGAGCGCGCACGCGAGTGAGAGCGAGCGACTGAGGAAGTGAGAAAGAGCGCGCGTGTACGCGAGTGAGAGGGAGGGTGGGAGAGAAAGCCCCTGTGCGACGGAATCGTCGCCGGCTACGTTGACGCTACCGACAAAAAGCTACCAGACTGCCGCGTCGCGCCACTCCGCGCGAAAGGGGAACCAAGTGCTTTGTACGTGCGCCAGCAACCACCGCGCGGAACTTTGTCGGAGATTTTAATTCGAGTTGCGACCGTCTATTCTCGCGGGGATCGGGTCCCGACGGCTTTCCCTAGTTTCGCCGATGAATAGAAAAAGAACAGCAACACCGACAGCAACGCGATTAAAAGAAAAAAAAAATCGGACAGCCGCCGCGTTTTTTCTAGGGCATCGTCGACGCTCGCAAAGAGTTCGAGTATCCGTGAACATCGGCCGCTGCTCGAAATCGTTTCGAAAACGCCCAAGGGTCCCGATCGTTGATTCGATCGACGCTGTCATGACATCATTGAAAATATCGCGAAACCTTGACGGAAAGCGTGATTTTTCCGCAATTGGACGAAACAAGACCGCCGACGGTAACGGAACACAAGAAGCCGATAGGCGGCACATTTATAAAATATTCGAACACAATTCGATAACAATATTTATCTGATCGAAGTTAGGAAGAATTAATAGATTCGATAATTCCATAATTCAATAAGTCCATATATATATATATAGATAGATATTATTATATTATACTTGTTATTATATTATTATATTATATTTATTACCTATATTATCTATATTTACGATATAATCATTATCTGTAATAAATACTAGTCCTTTGTTACAGAGGAGGAGTGTACAATTCTTGTACACCGCTGCGCACTACGACCTTTCAAAAGCTGGGATCTTTTGCATCTAATGTTTAAGACCTCAAACTACCAAATATAACCTAAAAAAGTCGTCCTTTTTTTTTAAATTTCAAACTATCTCGCACCATTAAAGATTGCATCGTTTTCGAGGTATTACCAGGCCCGAGAATTCGTCGACTTCGACTACGCATATAATCTCTGTACCTGCGTGCGATATTTAAAAGCACGCATTTCGGCCAACTTTTTCCGGGAAAAGGTTAGGTGCACAGCCGCATCGCCGGTCGAATTCGCGGGTTCCGTTCACCGCGCGTAGACGGTTCTATCAACCCCGTGAAATTCCATTGGAATCGCGGGGGCCCACCTCTGAAGCAGTCCTTGTCAGCTTCTCCTCGCTATTTACTCTCTTTCCCTTTCAGCCGGTGTGCCGTCTCGCGGTATATCTCGCTCCTCGTCGTCGACTTTCCGTGCCGGTTCTCTCTCTCCGTCTGTCGCACCGACCTCTGTGTCGCCGCACTTGCGCCGCGGCGAGTGGAGGGCAAAGTGGGCGTAGGTAGCTAGATGCGGCTAGGTAGCCACGGCTCAAAGAGAAGCGCGCCGACCGCCGGAGAAACGGTGGCGGCCGGTGGTGGAAAGGGCACACACGTGAAGAGCACCGCCGCGCGGCACGGCCACGGCGAAAAGATCCGTGGCTCGACCGAGGGGAGGCCGCCGCGTCATCGTCACCGATGCCAGGTTCTGCCGCGAGTTCCCGCGCGCGCCAAAGAGTAATTTCGTTAATGAGAATCGTTAGGGCACCGGGGTATGGCGCCGAGGATTTTCACAGTGGCGCCCCGTTTAATCTTCGCCGCGATCCACGGAAACGGTCACCGACGCGCCGCCCTTGGTTTCCACGCTGCTCGTTCGTTGGCTAATGCGGGGTCAAGCGCTGTTCGAACGCGGCCGAAACCGTGGTTATGGAACCACCGATACGGATCGGAGAAACGTTATTGGAATACAATTGCGCCGAACAAGCTGCTGTGTTTCGATATCTTGTTGTAACCTTTCCAGTTGTGCCGACGAGAGGTTTCTCGATTCTAGCGATTTCTTAGAAGAAGAAAATTTATATTTATAGTAATTTCTTTTCCAGAAATGTTTGGAGGTTGGAATTGAAACTGGGCAGATCCGAGAATATTAAGTCGCGGATTCTTCGAGCCTCGCGGCACGTTTTTTATGGAAACTCGAGGCAGTTGATAAGAAAGGACAGCGCCCAGCATGCCGGTGTACGTTGATATGAATTATATACATAGTGATGCTGGAATAATAACGGTGACTTAACCTTTTTAGTTCTCATTCTTTTTTACACGATTCGAAGACAACACGCGATAACTTTCTTTCGAAACTGGACTAAATGACTTGAATCTATTTTTAGGTGGTAAAAGGGCCAGACTATTACGTAATGACTAAAATACTTCTCTCTAATTTTGCTATTACTTGGGATGATAAAAAAAAGAAATAAAAAGCTCAAGATTTCGAACTTTCTCGTAAGAGCCTATAAGGAAAGTTTGGACAAATGCGTTTTGCAAATCTCGGTGACTTCTATGCGTACCGAACGTTTTTGTCGAAATCGAATATTTTTTTTGAAGAAGTATACCTCGCGGTAAGTTTATTAAGCTTTTATTTGGTAAGTTTATTTTATTATTTTATTATTTGTAGATGCTATCGACGAAAAACTTCTTCGACAACCATTCAACGATGAAATCAGAACGACGGGAAAGCACCCAATCCGAATCGAATTTAATAATAATAATAATAATATATTATATAATTGTAAGTATTATATAATCAATATAACTTATTAGTATTATACTTATATATAATATATTTATATTATATTATATTATATTATTATTATATATATTATTATTATTATATATATTATATTATTTATATTATATTATATTTTTATATTATACTTATATATAATATGAGTATTATATAATATATATAATAACAACTAATAACAATAACACTTTGAAAGAATTCAACGCACTTTCCGCGGGGAGTTATCGTAAAAGCGACTAACTGCTCGTTAGAATTGCTCGACGTGGGAATCTCTTAGAACCCAAGCTCGGATGTTGAAGCCGCGTTGTTCTATTCGCACGGACCGATTCAAACGGAATCAGCTTGAATCGATGGCCTCGCACAGGGTGGCGCACGACGGTTTCCACGCACGCGAATACACTACACGGCGGCTGGTATTAAACGCCGCGGAAAGCTATTAAAATCGTGAAAGTCTAAGGAGGTACTCACTGTGGAACCTTGTCCCTCTCGTCGACAGGATCTGATGCAGTCGCTGGAGAGTGTCTTTGGTGGCTTCCTCGTGCTTGTTACGCGCCCTCTCCTGCAATCTCACCTCCATGTCCGCGGAGCAACAGACCTCTCCGCCGCTCCTCACGCTGCCGCATATTTTCAGTTCCTTTGCTGGAAAAACGAATGGAAAACGAGATTAAAACGAGCTCGACGCTCGGCGCCCGCTTCGGTTCTCTCCGCTTCGCTACCTCGCGAGGGAAAAATCAACCTTTGAACGTTTCCACGGCCGAGAACCTCAACGATCTCCTCCTCCTCCTCCTCGCGTTTTCTTCTCTTTCCTTGGGACAAGTATAATACCAACTTTCTTCCCCCACCCCTCCACCCTCGCCGCCGCGATGCGGTTTTTTTTGCTGCTCTCGTCGTTAAGTCGCTTCTCCTTATTGTTGCGTTGCTTTGCGCTCGAATGGGAAATGCGGCTATTGATTATCGACGGTATTATCGATAATAATAATGAACAGATGATAAATCGCTATAGTAATAATAGCGTTTACGCGTTCTACGAATTTTTAGTAGAATAGGAGATCGTATCCCACGAAACATTTTTCTCCGTTAACAGAAATAATATGACGAAATATTTTGGTGCATGTAAATGCAACGAGAGAAGCGATTTAACAAATTCGTTATTAATATTATAACTGTCGCAATTAACACGCTGGAAGAAATGGATAAAAACATATAAGAACTGAAATTATGTATTTAATCCTTACCTTTTCAGTTTATGTTATTAGTACATATATATTTGGGCTTTTCTTGTGATAGAATAATTAAAACAAGCGCTTTAATTGTTTAATAATATAATATAATATATTATATTATTAATATTAATAATATTATTATTATTATTATATTATTTTTATTTTCAGTTCGCTACAATTAAATTGAACGCCCTCTCCATTTTCATGTTGCGAAAATTGTTCCGGAACCAATAGTTCGATCGTTTCTTAGAGAAACGGATTCGATTTCTTGATGAAAAGGATTAATTACGAAATCATATTCACTTGCAACAACGATAATTTCCATGTTCGTACGGCTAATTCGTACGGCTAATATTTTCGGGGTTCATATCCTTTCGGTAAATGAATAAATATGATTTAGTTCTCGCTCCGCGTTTATTCCGGCGCGCGCGCGGGTACGTTCCAGCCGGCATCACGGGCCGATTATAAAATTTTCGAAGTTTCCTCGAGAGGCGAGTTTGAAACCGGAATGGGGTGGTCGGTCTGGCGTCTGCTTCCCCGAAGGAAACCCGAGGGGGGAGGGGGAGGGGCGGCAACGTTTATTTGTTCTCGAACGAATTGCGATTACGCGAAACTCCGAGGCGGCGCGGCTTCCGTAATTTACGACAGATCCGGCTAATTTGATTCTTCTTCCTCCGTTTTCTTTCATCCATTCTCCGTCGTTTCCGGGAAGCCGGCAAATGGGTTTTCCCGGTTTGCTAGCTCGGCAGCGGTGACGAGAGAGAGAGAGAGAGAGAGAGAGAGAGAGAGAGAGAGAGAGAGAGAGAGAGAGAGAGCGCGAGAGAGAGAGAGAGAGAGAGCAAGAGTGAGAGAGCGAGAGAGAGCGCGAGAGTGAGAGAGAG